GCCAGATCCGACTATATTTAACAACGGAGTCAACAAAAACGATAGCTGTGGCATTCATACTTTCCCGCCTTGACTACTGTAACGCCGTGCTATCAGGTATACCTGATGACAAAATAGCCAAACTGCAACGTATACAGAACAACGCTGCACGAATAGTCCTTAGAAAAACAAGACAAGATTCTGCTACTACGCTCTTGCGCACGCTCCATTGGCTTCCCTTGAAAGCGAGAATTGATTACAAAGTCGCCACACTTTGTCATCAGTGTATATTTAACAATGAGATGCCCTTGTACCTTAGAGAACTGATTACTCCATATGTAATGGGCTCAACGCTTCTAGTGGTGCCACGTCAAAAGCTACGGTCTGCGGGCTTTTTCAGTGCACGGACCAAAGGTTTGGAACTCACTCCCCATTGATCTCAGACAACATGCTATACCACTTTTAAGACGAACATTAAGAACTACTTGTTTACATTTTTTTTTACATTAGTTTTTCAGATAGCCGTTGTCGTGTTTGTGTTTGTAATGTTATGACAGCGCATTGAGCCTACATTTTGTTTGTTAATAACACTTTATAAATACAATTATTATTATTATTATTATAACCACGTTATAACCCTTCTCCATGCCCTGAATTCTAATAGACCTCCCATTCCTCCACACGAAACAACAAAACAAAAAAACATTTTGTTTTTATAGCTTTGTACCATATAGATCTATGTGTGTATGTGTGTGCTGTGTGCCAAGGAAAAACAACCCCCACCATTTTTTTTACCCTTATTCCCAAATACAAAATCTTTGCTACGCCCCTGTTGGACAGGATCTTTCTCTATCTGAAGTATTTCAATCGAGACTTGGACCTGTCAAGCAGCCAGCTGCCCAGTGATATACCTGTCACTAATCAACCTGTCACTAATCTACCTGTCAGAGAAAAATAGTTTTATACGATTGGACAGGTGTAAATCATAAATAATTTACTTGAAACATCTCCAGCAAGTAAAAACCTGACACACTGGTATGTCAACTATTAGTGATGTCATAGACATTTACTCTTCCATCCTACTTGACATCTCCCTACAAGAGGATTTGGTTTGATTCGTTTTGACGTCAACACTTTTGAATGAGTCCAATCATTTCTTAAAAATCAACATGCTTACAGAAAGTACAACATTTCAATGCTTGTCTTTTTTATTAAAAAGAATTTTCTGTTTAGAAGTTATGAACATGTTAATAGTTAATGTTAATTGGTGGTTTCAGTCATTGACAATCAAATCTGAGAAGAAAGCTTTTTCATTGAATAACAATTATGTATTTGATGTCCTCCCCACCCAAACAACAGCAATGTATTGCATATAAACTATTTGAACACAATGGAGCAGAAGCATAGGAGTCTGGATACATCACGGGCCAAGAGTTTACCTAATTACAAAGTGAATATAGATGCCATAATTGACTATGCGTTTTCGTTTTGTCATGTCTGAAGGTTGAATTTCTAGGTCACGATGACAGCTGAAATTTTGTTTTCTTTTTTTTTTTTTAGACCAAACCGCCACGCGGTTTATCATCTTAAACATTGGGCGTAGATTTCTATTATATTGTATTTCAAATTGTATCAGCCTGTATTGTAGCCTGTTACCTTGTAGCTGCTTGGCGATCTGACTGGTTTAGAGATGAATTGCTCGTGAGAAATTATCCGTTTCACCATATTATCTTCTCTCAATATAAACACAACTGAAACATATGGAGCCTGCGCATATGGACACGGACACCATGGGAGCACTGATACTTTTCTTAATTCCAGACTTTTCTAATTAAAAAAAAAAAATCAACATTGGCAAGTATTCTCTCCCCTTATTTTCTTTCCTAGTCGTATGGGACTAAGAGTAGGTTCCCTTGAATTAATCGTAGGTTGAAACTGCCGGAAAACCAAAATCGATAGACCTAGTTACGTCACTTCAAATCTTGTCCAGAGCCATATTACTTTAAGTCTTGCTTTTATTAAAGTCTGGGAGATAATATTTTAATGTTCGATAACCTTTTCCTAATTTGACTCTTTCACAGACAATCCCAATTCAGAACAGAGCTAAAGTAACTAGTTCAGTCCCATTTAATGCTCTATGTATGGAATGTGATATCTTCACTGGGAAACTCTAGACTGAAGTCTGCTTGGATCGTATGTTCCACTAATGCATATATCAAAGAGAACGTGACTTATTGAGGAAGTTGTAATTTGTTGACTCTATCTTAAAGGGTAGGTCAACACGACCAACAAATAGCCTCAGAACCGGACACAACAGAATGAGACTACGTGTGTTCCGTAAGCTGAAAATTGTCCCTCTGAAGTGTCACCAAAGAATGTTAACCATGTCCATCACAACTGCGTTCTCCTCCGAGAGCAGTGGCGTCACTAGAATCGGTGTCACCCGGTGCGGTTACCTTTCTCCAAACGTTTCCCACTATCGTTAGTTTTTTGCTTGTTTGTTGAACCAATATGGCGAGCTGATTAAATACTTTCATTGATTTTTACACAAACCAGTTTTATTATAAAATCCCATTGTTTACGATATCTATTTAATATTTATAACATATTGTACAAAAAAAGTTTATTAATATTAGAAACACACTTAACATCACATGACCAATTTCATACAGGAATCTCTAAACCTAAAAAAGAAACACCAACTTGAAAAAATTACTCTGGAACCCTCGATACACTCTAATGAATCTCCACCCTGCGACGAAAGCCCTATTCCTACTATAAGGGACCATATTGAAAGCATTAAAAGAAAATCTGATTACAGACCAACAAAGCTCAAGAAAATAGTGAACTTTTTTCTACATACCAATTATCCTAGCAATCAGTGGATCAGAGTTTAAACGGATGGCTCAACCCATAAAGCCACCACAAATGGAGGAGCTGGAATACTTATCGAATGGCCAGATGGAGGAAAACTAGAAAAGTCCATTGCAACTGGAGAGCTCTCTGACAGTCACAGAGCAGAAAGAGAAGCACTAGCACTAGCTGCTACCATCCTAGCAAATCATCATACAGTCAGATTGTCTTACTAACCGATGCAAAAACAACCCTCCAAAGCTGGCAAAACTCTGATTCCTCATATATTAAAAACCTCAAAACAGCACTTACAAAGCTCAACAACAAAAGCAAAAAAAACTGAAATTCAATAGATACCAGCTCATATAGAACTAGAAGGAAATGAGAAGGCTGACACACTCGCCAAGAGTGGGAGAACTAGCACACTAATAAACTCTGCACTCTATCCAGAAGAATTGAAGAAATTAATCGTAAATAAAATAAATGAGAAATGGACGAGCTCTCATCCAAATCACAAGAAAGATGACGCTTACTATAAGCTATCCCGACAAGACTAACGTCTAATCTTTCGACTCAGGACCGGACACAACAGAATGCGACAACACATGTACCGGAAGCTCAAAATTGGAACCAGTGAAATCTGCCCATGTGGAGAATCACCAGAGAATGCAGACCACGTCCTCCAAAACTGCTCTCTATACCAAGAGGCCCGTATAAGACATTGGCCCCAAATCACCCGAATAGAGAGAAAACTATATGGAGAGCTCCCTGATCTGGAAACCACTGCGCAGTTCATGTATTGGTCTCTAGTCATCTGAACACTCCAACATAATCAATGAGAACGAAGAAGAAGAAAAAAGAAAAATTCACAGAAATTCGAACCCAGGACCCCAATTACGGAAGCCAAGCGCTTAACCACAACCACCACACCCTTATGTTGCTATAAGTGAACAGATATTGTAAGACTCATAAACCACCATCTTCTCTACATGATGTTGAATAGAGATTTTGTGGGTCTATTCTGAACTCTATCTTTGCATGTTCAAAGTTTTCAAATCTATATCTTTTTATCAGGGTGATATTGTCGCAGTTGATCCTCAAGCGTAATTAGTTTCATATCGTCATAAAAAAGGCAATCGGTAACCGCTGGGTTGACAAGGAAAGAATGAACAATTGTATATAATCAACGCTAGACAGTCTACATTTCTTTTTGTTAAACATTAATTACATGAAGACAAAATTAAGTTATTTTAATAAGTATTGAAATTAAATACAATTTTTGGCTTGAATAGCAGGATAAATATTTAAATATTAACTAAGTTACAAATTATATATAGTGTGAAGAATAACATTAATGGGATGTAAAAATTAAAGTCACGACCTGCTTAAATGAAATCTATTATCATAGTTCCCCTTGGACATCTCATGGACCCCCAATTTGTTTTTTCACTTTCGTAGACCCCTTGAAAGTCTTCGTAGACCCCTGGGGTTCTATATACACCACTTTAGGAATCACTGGTCTAGACAGTATGTTTCCCAGTTTTGTGATGTTATGAACTAAACAATGAACATTCCATTCAACAAGATAAACATTAAAAAATACATTTAAAAAAAGACAATACCTCCATTATGAATACAATAAATATAAAATAAAATAATTAAAAACAAATATTTGTCCCAAACCAGGTATCGAATCCGTGATTTTGACACCATCCAATACTAGACTTTTGATTTAAATCTCTTAAGATCTAGCTTAGATCTACTTCTATATCTAGAATCTACATGTAACCTGTATTAGATGTACGTTAAGAATATATGTAAAGCTTAGATATTCTTTAAATAAAATTGAAGACATCTGAAATTTACCCTGTTATCGTATAATTTCGGTACACTAGGGCTGACTACGCCTTGTGTTTTATTCTAAGTCTAGTCAAACCAAATTTAGATTTATTTATTTGTTTACTTTTAAAAATTAAAAATTATCAAACAAGAGTTTTCCCATTGTGGCAAACGAGCTAGTAATTCTTGTCTCGGCGATATACATCAACTGTTACATTTATAGGAGAATCGTTAGAGCTATTTTTGAGATCAGCTGTCTAGGTTCCTGCTGGGTCCAGGTTCCATAAAGGAGTGACTTGAATAGAGGTATTGTAAAATGAACACGACAAAAAGAGTGTGAAAGTTTTTATTCCATTAAACATGTTATTTGAATCATATTTGTATCAAATGGTAACAGTGATCTAGAAGTTAAAAAAATCTAGCTATAGCTCTTTTAATATCTAGGTTAGACACAAGACGTAAACATTCATGATGTACTAAAATGAAGGAGCTTTCTACAACACAGTCTAGACTCCATACATAGGCTGTCAGAACAAAACAAACAACTGTTAATGAACATAATAGAGGGTTTGCAGTCCAAAAAAAAAAGCAAGGTGTACCTAAACTGTGAAGGGGTGGTAGCCATTATTTAGAGGGGGTGGTACCCTAATTATGAGGGGGTGTTACCATTATTAGAGAGGTTGGTAGTCATGATTATAGAAGGTAGTACCCATATCAAGAGGTGGGGGTTTCAGCTAAACTGTGAGGGGTGGTAGCCAGGAACCAAATAAATGTGAGAGGGTACTTTTGAGTCAGAGTGGATTGTATCCAAAAAGTGAGGGGTATGCTCCATGAAGGGTACAAGTGGTGAGGTTGGAAATAGAAAAACAAAAGACTAAAAAGACAAAGGAAATGTCAACATGCACAAGTTTTAGTTTTGAATGATTGGATCATGTCCCCACTTCTTCTCAAAATTCAACTGAAGTGTTGTGTCTCTAGCTGAAATTGGAATGACGTTTCTATACAAACTTGGTTGCATGTGTGTAAGCGTATGTTGTGAGGTTCGCTAACGTTTAGGTATGGTCAGATGTGTCCACTGTCCAGTATATCGAGTCTAGACTGTGGTATAAAAGCACGCCCAAACAAGAGTAATATCACAAAGTAGACAACAACAAGTCAGTGCATCTATAGAGTTTTTCTCGTACTAGAGAGATTTCAGTTTTGACCAATCTAGTTCAATCTTAGTGTCCAAGCTGGAACCCGATCTAAGCTTTCAAACTGGATGTTACTTTGAAATGAGCGAATATTGAATTGTCTTTTATGTGCTTCATTTAGACTGAAACACAAAATAAATATGGTTTTATACGTGTATAGTAAACGTCCCTTTTAGACCTTGCGATCAGTGTGGCAAATAAGGTAAAGCGCATCTGTTTGTATGGCCTAGTCAAGAGGGTGTCATGTGGCCATCACAACAACCTTGACTTTCCCCAACCTTTTTTTTTTCATGGTAACAAGTAAAGCTGGGTGGACTTACAGATGTTATAAAATGCCGAAGTATAAAGTCATTGTCCTAACAGAATTCAAACCTATACCCTTTTAAGTGCTCTATCCAGGGCCGGTCCTAGCAATTGCGGGGCCCTATGCGAAACTGATTGCGCGGGGCCTAGTCTGTGCGGGAATAAGGATAATAAGTGAAATTTAAGATTTTGTATAAGAAAAAAAGTTCGACTTTACTAAGTTAAAAATTGCGATCTTTACTTTAAGAACCTTGTAACAAATGGCATATTTATATGCTAGTGACTATAAAAGCAAATAAAGTATTGGAACTTCCGATTAAGGTTTAAATTCGCCAGATTATTACACGAAAGCTGACAATGCTTTTTTTCTTTTATCACGCGTAGGATTGGCGTTTTCCGCAATTAATGACACTCACAAATGACAATTTAGTCTATTTTTCTGGAGATTTTTAATAGTTTTCAGAATATTTTAATAAATTCAGGAGATTTTCTTGAGTTTTTCGTTTATATTTTGCAATTTAATAATTACATCCTGAATTAGCGCGGGGCCTATGAAAGCGCGGGGCCCACTGCGACCGCATAGGTTGCAGTGGTTAAGACCGGCCCTGGCTCTATCAATTGTTCACAACACCCTTTTAAAATGTATGCATATAATTAGACTAGTAAAATAGCTTCATGGCCTAATGGTGTCAAAATGTTGTAAAATGTTTTACATGTTCCTTTAGAGTTGAAGATAGTTTATCTTCCTAGTCCAAAACTCCCACAGGACGACAGGGGGGATGGGAGCGGGCAGGGTTTGAACCCTGGACCATCGATAAATCCATACGACAGTCCAGCGCGCAAACCGCAAGACCAGGCAGCCATGTCCATAAAATTGGAAATAAATATCTTATGATACCTTGAGCTAAACTTACTGTCCAAGTAGAGCTCTTTACATTTTGAAACTTTAAGGTCCCTTGCACCTTATACGGTATTTACCGTATGGAAAACCGGATGCGTCTTCGACGTGCCATTGTAGCTTTCACATTGGACGGGACTAAGACGAGCCCTATTTGAAATGACTGCTTTGGGATTGGGTCATCTCCTGTGGCCGTACGACTAAAAAAATAAAAACGTCCTGTGTAAAAGCAAACATTTAGTCATGTAAGCCTAATGAGTCCGTGGAGCTAAGTGGCAAGATAACTCTTTCTCTCCGTAACTATTTTTCTCGTTTCGATAGTTTTATTCGTTTTTTCTCATTTGTATTTCCCTCTCCTGTTAGGGTTAGGGTTAGGGTTAGGGTTAGGGTTAAACTTTAATAACTTTTTTTATTTTTTTTAAATCAGAAAATGTTATATTTGGTATTTCAATCATAGGAGAATGCATGCTCTTTTTACACAACACAAATTACATTTTATAAATCCAAAAATCAATTTAGTTAAATGTGAGTCAAATCAACGTTGGCAACTTCAGCCAGGAGAGAAAGAGTTAAAAACGTCGTAAATATATTCGACCTTCAGGGCGTAAACTGAAAGTTCCCATGTCCTTCTTTACACATTCAGGCGTACCGGCACTTTTTGTTTTTCCATATGGCGAAAGACGTGCAATGTGTAGGGGGGCCTAAGTAATCGATACAACTTTCTCACGTGTGTCGATGTGTTTTTACTTTAGATAACTCGACCAAGAGAGAGAGAGAGAGCACATTGTGTGTGTAATATCTAATATTCCATTTCCCATCCTTCAGCTTTCTCAGACACGTGATTGCTGGCGCTAGTTTGGTCAAAACAAAGACAACAATGAAGAATAGAATGGAGCTAACAATAACAGATCGTTGTTCAATAGAAACAGTTCGATGGCTCAATAACCAAACGGGGATAAAAAAGAAGGGGAAAATACAATGCTGACCCAAAGCGCACAGTGGGCGAGGATTCAGATCAAAAGACTGAAAAAAAAACCCAGTACAAAACAATTTTCACCTCAATACAGTTCCAGCAGATCAGAATTGTATGCTATTTAGTTTATAAAATATCACAATAAAAGAAACTGATCTCGATATAATGATGGGGGTAAATAAATACTTACTATCTAAAAATAATGCAGCTGCTGCTATTGATGCGAGAAGCTTTTAAATCAAGTGATCATAATTTTGTAGATAGCGACTTGATATTTATACCGAGATTCTATATAGGCTGTAGTAAATGAATCCTTCCAGACATTGCGATCAATCATCTGGTAGAGGTCATCTGTTTCTATGGTCGATGATTAACGAGGTTGTTTATGTGGCCAGCACAATTACCTACCCCCCAACTAATGCTGAGTACCCATTAGCGTTAGCTGAACTCAAGGACGTACTAAAATGTCGAAATTTAAAATCCCAGTCTTCACTGAGGTTCAAGCCAAGCGCCTTACCACTCAGCCACTATACACCATATAGAGAAAAGGGGGAGGGAACTGTCAATAAGAAATATTCTCTTTAGTAGCATCGTATCCCCCCAAAATTTATCTTGAATTTTTTCCTTCTAAAACATGTCTGGGACTGAGAAGGGGGGAAGAAAAGTTTAGTATAAATAGGACTTATCTTTGTGTATCAATGTGTATTTACGAAGTTGGACTACGAGGGAAAAGGCCAGTGATTGTGTCTTTCTATTGGCTGGTTGAAGTATTGAGCAGTAACCAAACAGTTACTCCTGCACGTCTCATGAATCCTTTGCTAATTATTTGAGCGTTTATCTTTAGACGATATTTATCGCTGCGTTTGACCGTCTTTCCTTTTTTATTCATCATTTGCTTGGGTCCGGGAAATGGAAGACTTTGCGCGATGTGGGTTGCCGAGTTCATGAAATTTGGTTGGGTTAAAAAAATGTTTGATGGTACAATTATTTTACTTGGACAAAGGTTAGTAGGTCTACTAGAGTTAAAATGAGTATTGATAACATATAACAAAGAGGAACTACTTTTTTCTTGTCGAATTGCATTGCACTATTTACTGGTATGAGGATCAAAAACTATTTTAAAGTGAACAATGTATAATTGAAGAGATTATTGTGAAACAACCTCGACAAGAACAAAGGTTAAAAATACGTTCATTGAACAAGTGACACATACATTCAGGAATACTGGATGCTACCTAGTACAACTAGAAGAGCTAAATTGGCAACTCTTCAACTGTCACCATTCTCACGCTGACACGACAGACTACAGGAAAAAAAAACTACACGGTCAACAATTCAACATTTGCATAAGTTAAATAACAATCACACGGAAAGACTATTACAAGGTGAAACGAAACAAAGTATTGAAGAGTATAGCAGGAAAAAGAAAAAAAATAATTTTGTAACAAATTGTTGCCAACATAAATGTTTTAAAATTTTCTTGAAGAAAAATGTATTTTTTTGGGGAAATGCCAACATTTTACTTAAAATGTCAAGTTGAAGCGAAATATAAGCTAATATTTTTCTTTGTCTTTCTTTCATATATTTTCTTTGCTTTTGTTTTGTTTTTCCCAGCAAAAAATATTTGTTACATTTATCACAGAATACAAGAACAAGTCAACTCTTGTTAGAGTTGATACATTTTCCTTCTGAAAAATGTTCTTAAAAAAATACTAACTAGGTCACATGATATGAGAATGTGGCTACTAGCAATGTGCTAAGATTAGTAAGGATGAGTTTGAACGTGTTTTATTTGCATCCTTTTCAAATAACTGTTTTTTTCCTTTTCAAAAAAAAGGAAATTATGTTAGTTTCTTTGTTTTGAGTCTATTTTATATCACAACGTTCTAAAAATAGTCTCAAAGTTTAAAATGTTTACGGGAAATGAATCGATTTCCACGGGAAAGATTATTTTGTCAGCGAAGTGTAAAAATAAACACTTTCAAGACTGAGTTTTGCATGTCTCTTCCATTCAAGACACAAAATACTCTGAATGCTGTAGAGTTTCCACATAGTTTGAAGATGTCCACAATTTTCGATAAAAATCGAAGATCTCCAAAAATTTCGACTGATTTTATGAGAGTCCAGATTCTCTCAAAATCGATGATATATAGTCCAACTAGTTAAGGAAGTCAATCTCAAACCCTCTGGGTTAGGGTTAGGTGGTCCAGTAAGTATATATACATAAAATGAGCAAGATAGTCATCAAGGCGCGCAAGCTAGCACCCCCATGGGACGTGGAGACAGAGTTGCATAGATGTTTCCCACACATGCAGAGGTATCCATTTCCGTTTCGCTCAGTTCTGCATACTCCGTCCAACATGGTCAGATGGAAGTCCAGGTCAGCGCTGCAGACACGAATCATTTGAAGGACACCTAGAAATAAAAAAAAAAGTTAGAGTTGAGGTAAGCTTTATAAAATAACGTGTTTTTAAATATCACCCTAGGTCTAATATAAAGAGTTAAATTCCCCTTTCAGATCTTGCGATGGTGTTAAGGTCATCTGTTTCTTTAGCCAACGGTTAACGAGCTGGGTGTCATGTGGCCAGCACTAAAGTCAGGTACCCATTAAAGTTGGGTGAAATCAGGGGCGCCCACAATATCACGCAATTTTAATTCCCAGTCTTCACCGAGATTCGAACCCAGGACCCCAGCCTAGCGCTTAATCACTCAGCCACAAACAATCCAACATATTATGTTTCGATTTTCAGACAGTTCCGATGAGAAATGAGGACCTCACATGATGTAATGGAATAAAAACAAATTAAAAAGTTTCGACTTGACTTCAAAGGCGTAGTTGCGAAAGTGAAATTGACTTGGTTACAAATTGTAATTTAAACTGTGTCGAGCGATGTAAACCTAAACACATAACTTCATCATTCATCACAAGAACAGGAAAGATGTGCAGTAGACTGATTGAACAGTTAGGCTTGAGAGAAAACAAAAATTGGCACAGAATGTCGGCCCCAGGAATATATTTTACGTATTGGACATTTTTGTAGCAGCAGCCTTTTTTTTTGTGTCTCGAGGAAGTTCAACAGAATTTTGAAAAAGAAAAAAATAGTGGGGAAAAAAGTGCATGAGGGTATGAAGAAGACTGTGTGTGTCTGAGACAGAAACTATTTGTGAGTGAGAGAATAAAGAATGTGTGTGTGTGTGTAAGAGAGAGAAACTAGACTGTCTGTGAGAGTGAGAAAATTGACTGTGTGTGTGTGTGTGAAAGTAAATTGTGTGTGAGTGTTAGAAAATAAATTGTTTGTGAGTGTGAGAAAGTAAATTGTGTGTGAGTGTGAGGAAGTAAATTGTGTGTGAGTGTGAGAAAGTAAATTGTGTGTGAGTAAATTGTGTGTAAGTCTAATGAAGTCAAAGTTGTAATAACAAAGTCTTAGGAAGTCAACGATTTAGCGGACAGACAATGTTTAAAGTTTGGTTCAATTCAAAGCCAGGAATAGACATCATTCACAAATATCAAACTATATTCATTCTGAGCATAAACAAAAAACCTAGAAAAACAACATCAGCAGACTTCATGGCATGAAAATAGCAGACGTCATTGAACTCGGTGTAAGAAAAACTGCCAACTAAATTCATGCCTTTCTTCACATGCACATGTTAAAAACGATGAAAC